AAATACCAAGTTGTGATTTTCCTAAGTATAAACGTTTTTCCAATGTTTTCATCAAAGTTCTCTTTCTTGTCGTATACTTTTACTTTTACCTATTAGATACCACTGCTTCGCTTTTACCTAGTTTTAAACTCCTACTCGATAATGATTCCATTTCATGATACACTTATACTTCACGATTCGATTATCCCACACTGTACGCTTATACTTCACGACTCGGATATCCCACACTGTACGCTTATACTTCACGACTCGGGTATTCCACACTGTACGCTTATACTTCACGACTCGGATATTCCACACTGTACGCTTATACTTCACAAGTCTGTTATTCCACTGTACGCGTATACTTCACAAGTCGGTTATTCCACTGTACGCTTATACTTCACAAGTCGGTTATTCCACGGTACGCTTATACTTCACAAGTCGATTATTCCACACTGTACGCTTATACTTCATGATATGATTCCACTTGATACACACTCAAGCGTAGTTAGATGTATGTATGTGCTTGTATAGATGCATGTAAATAATGATTGAAGGGCTTAGGAAGGCTTGTCTGCCCTATTTCCTTTTCTTCATTGAGATGTGGTCTGGTGGGATCGGACGTCTATCCGAAGGTCGTTTGACTCATTAGTTATATATTATGTACACAAGCATAGACATATAGGATTTCTTTAGTCAGTTCAGTTATGAGTCTCTACCTCTAATTCAACACTGTATTGGAAACACACTACCCACTATTTGGGATGCATCTTCGGGACACGGCCTTCTCCGTCGTCTAGTTGGTAACCAGAGTCTCCTGTAGGGAGAGCAGACTTTGTGTGTATAGATCTATACAGGATTGACACCCCCGCACCCTGACTGCTAGCTACAGCCCATTGTCCACCAAGCCAAGGGGTGACAAATGTCATAATTTATAGACGCTTGTAGGGCGTCAGGTACTCTAGTGTCGGTTAGTATGGTTACGAGTATCCCAGGTTGCCTTATAATTCATGGCCTTAAGGTAACGATATTATACCAGCAATTTAAACTGTATGCTGGGAACCCATTTTCAGAGTCACACTGTTTTTAGACCTTGCAAGCTGTATCTTTCATTTGATACTGTCTGCGGTCTGTATTCTTTGTTTTAGACCTTGCTAGTTGTATCTTTCATTTGATACTATCTGCGGTCTGTATTCTTTGTTTTAGACCTTACTATCTGTATCTTTCATTTGGTGCCGTCTGGGGTCTGTATCTCCTTTTGTTAGACTGAGCCAGGCATGTCGTTCGTTCGATACTCTCCTGGAGTCTATGATTCCTTTTTGCCTTAGTCAGCAATCCTCATTGCTGAGGCATATGTTATTTCCCTGATTTCTCTTGCTTTCTTTAATAATCAAACTCAGTATTTTGATAATGATAGCGATTAACGGAAAACTACTTCTTACCACATAACTCCGTCCAGTCTTGGTAGAAGGCTGCTTTTATTAAAGAAAATATAGGATTTTCTGGAAAAGACACTAATGTAATGGATACTCTAAAACTACCACTTTTATTAAAGTTATTTGAATAAAATGACACTAAATACTTATGAACTCACCAGCATTTGTAAAAAATGTTGATACTCGCTTTTCAAATAACTTGTATTCTCAGGTCAGCATTAGACAGGTATCTCCCCGGAGCTTTTGATGAAGACAATTTAGTACCAAGCTGCTTTTATATCATTACTTGTATTACTTTGATGTATTGTAATGAAAACCATGTAAAACTATTACTATTAATGCAATGATTGTTGTGCTTCGATTTACTATACTACATATGTTGTGATACTTGACATGATGTCATCCACCCCCAAACGTTTCCACCGTTCCGGTTTTGGGGTGTGACATTTCTATTTTAGTGTAAAGTTGTTTTAACTAAAAGGTAAAAGTAGGGATTCAATGAAGAAATAGCATGCTAGGCCATTAAGAGTAACTAGCTTTTTTTTTTTATCATTTTCCATAAATTTACTTTATCTTTTACCCATAATAGTAATGTACTTTTTATTTTTAATGTAAAATTATTTTAACTAAAAGGTGAAAGTAGGGATTCAATGAATAAAAAGCATGCTAGGTCGTTAAGGGTAACTAATGAGTAATAGGATAAATTCATTAGTTTATGTAAGAAACTAAATATATTACCTGATATTCTGGAGTAAACCAATGAGTAACAAATTTTTTAAACTGAGTCGGATTCACCTTGTTATCTTTCTCAGTTTGTTATGCCACAATTTGATTGATTGTAAGACTTGAATCATATGCAAGTGCTTTTAGTGAACCTTTCCAAGTCCTCCATTTTTCCCCATGCTAAAAAGGATCCATTTCTTGATTTCACTTGTTTCAGTCGGATGAATAACAAACTTGGCCTACAAATAAAGCTTACATGTAAATATAAATACACCATAATTTTGGTTAATAGATACGCACCTTAACCATAGAATACATATCTTCTTTCTTCTGTATAGGGATCTTCCTCCAATTATCATAATCTATTCCGACATGATTAGCCATCCTCACAAAGGTCCCAAGGTATTGTACGAGTTCATTTCCTTCATCTCCTACCGGTTTTCCGAACCTATTAAATGTCACTACTATTTTTCTGGAGCTACTCATGTTCCATGTCTCGGGCTTTTGAGTATAACCCCTTACTTTCTTTTGAGCACCTAATAAAAAAATTAGTAAAGTTAACCGAAATTAGCAATAGAGTGATAATATGATAGTTTTCATCAATTAATTAGTAAATAGACATGTGTTTCTTTTTTACTCAAAATTGAAAGATGTCTTTCTGTTACAACTTGGAAGCCTTTATAATGAGGCAAGAAAAAGCAAACATCTAACCCTTTCTTTGAAAAAAAAAGCTTAAAAGACTAGGGAAAGATGAAGAATTGACAAACTTTAAAGAACTATTTATTGAATTTAAGCTTAGATATTTCAGATGATGTAAACAAAGACATAGTTAGATAAAGGAAGTGGGCATTCGATCTAGTGGTAGATAAAGGAAGTGGGCATTTTTCATCAGCAAAATCAAAACATTTGATCTACTAGAAACAGATCTACCTACTCAAAATGGATAGAATATACCACCAAACAGATATGAAAATATGCAATAATAGTATCAATCAACAGAGTGAGGGTCGTTTACACAGAAAGGTAACTGCTATAAATTGAAATTGTAAATGATAAAAGTAAAAAAGAACATGAAATACATGAAAAATATATGTAACACATGTCATTGACATACCTGATTTACCTCCTTCAATAGATTTGTGTTCTTCAGTAGTAGACTAGCCTCCTTCAGTAGTTTGTGGATGACTTGATTGATCTCCTTCAATAGGGATATCAGTTGCAGAAAACTCAGAACTTTGTTCATGTATCTCACTTCCAATAGGGATATCAGTTGAGGTGGTGCATAGCCTCTTACGCCTACCCATCCTCCTATAACACCACAACAGATAAGTACATGCATACAAATATATACATATAATACATAGATACATTCATATAAATATAAACAGAAAGATAAAGTGCATCAAATTTTCATTAACTATCATCAAATACTAATCTAGTCACTATTATTTTCTTCATCATCTATGACATCTATGTTTTCATTAGCTATTATCATTTCTCGTGTAACATCTATGCTATCATCTCTAACCCTATGCAAGTTAGGTACATCAAATATGTCATCATAAGCACCTCCCATGTCAAATACATCTCTAAGCTTTACATGTCGCACAATCTTCCAGCCTATATGTTTAGGATTCATGGAGTAGAACACCTTGTCGACTTGTGATGCCAAAACAAAGGGATCATCAATCAAGTTAACACCAGTATGTGTCTTATATGAGAAGTTGACCAATGTTACATTGTCATCTTTCTTGAAACCTCTATTGCTGTCAACCCACTCACATTTGAATAAAACTAATCGTATCATTCCAGAGTAGTTTAATTCAATAATGACAGTTAATTTTCCATAATAGTTATTCTATTATTCACGCCTTCAACTCGCCTTCTATCTCGACTACTGGAATAATTTGCACCTTCTACCATAAGAGCCACACCACTGTTTTGAGTTCGTAGAAGTTCCTATCGTTTTCTTGTGTGAAATCGATAACATTTAACTAGGTATCCTGAGTATTATTGCACAACTCTAAGTGGACCACGTGCAAGCCATTTTATTTCGTCGGTTACATTTTGATCTCCTTACTCTTCCATGTGTGCGACCTATCAACATACTTATATAATTACATCTTGAAAATCAAACTTTGATACATCAAATATTTATTCCAAATTACCCTTCTCTTAGTACAAAAATGGGTTATGGTCACACCAAAAAATTGTGACCATATGCCTATAGTCACACTTTTTTTTCATTGAAAGTGTCACCGAAGGCCGTGCCATTTTAGGCACCATACGACCACTTTTAAGTTTAGTGGTTATATCATATGAAAAACTGTGAACATAGCATAAAAGTGTGGCTATAGGGTGAAGTTTTTTGTTGTTGTAATCTATCATTTTATCCAATATTGTGACTGTAAACCCTTTATAGACACACCTTCTAGTTATTTTAGTGACAATCTTTCATGGAATGGTCACATGAAGTTATTTTCACTGTAGCGTATTGATAATAATTCGTCACACAAAAAAATGTTCATTATGACTATTGACTATCGTTTAGAGACACAAAATTAAGCGAAACATGACCATATTCAACAAATGGCCACATGAATTTATTTACACTATGACGTTTTGCTAATAACTTGTCACACAAAAAAATATGACTATTATCAATCTTTTAGACACGCTCATAATAAAATAAATCATGACCATGTTCCCAAAATGGTCACATAAATTTATAATTTCAATGACCAAAAGTATTTTAAAGACACATACTATTTTTTTAACTATGTTCATTCAATAACTTTCAGCCACATATGTATAATTTATCATGACCATTGCTATGATTCAAACATATAAAAAGTTGTAAGTGTGGCTATTTTATATGTTTTCTACATAGAAAATCAATTAAACATGACTGTGATTGATTTATAGACACAAAAGTATATATAACAGTGGCTAATATTCATCTTATGAACATAACAATTTGTTTTAAGTATGACCGGTTTTATCATTTAGACATTAAAAAATTGCAGAGTGTGACTATTGTTTTTATTATAGTCACATATACATACATAAACCATAGTTGTAAATGTCGTATAGTTACATAATGTTTTTATAACTATGACTATTATAGAACATACATCCACATGAATGTAGAAATAAGTGACACATGTTAAGATTTTTGACACACATTTATCTACATTGACAATACTATTTAGTTTTTAGTCATGCATATTAAATTGAAGCATGACTATAAAATCATTGTAGATACACAACTAATGTTTATTGTCCTTATTGTTTAGTGTTTAGCCACACAAATTTTTCATAACCATAACATTTGTTATCCTTTAGACACACCTATAGTTTTCAATGTGGCTATTGATCATAATTTAGATATCGTGAATCAATACAATCGTAACCATTAGTGTTGTATCGATACTCAAATTCATTCACCGTGACTACATTTACCCTATTGTGATATTACTTATAGTCACGTGATTATTAAATAGAGTGACATGTGTATCTTTTCCGAGACACAAAATTTTCAATAGTTTTCAATGTTGTATTTCTTTTACTTTTAGTCACATATGTTTAATTAAAAGTGACTGTAAAACACTTGTAGACACATATTGAGTTTCTATCATGACTATTGTTAACCCTTTAGTCACACGACACATTTTTTTTGTAATGTAACAATTATATACAATTTAGTGACAAAACATAATAAAACATGATGGTAAAATAAATACAGACACATGGAATAAAAAACAATGTTAAATAAATGTAACCATAAATGGACAATGTGAAACGACAAAAAAAGATCAATATTAATAATAATTCAAATGAAAATTCTCATATATAATTTCCCTAGTTAAAAGGTAAAAATCCTTGTAATCAAAACAAGTTTACTTAAATATGCTAAAGAAAGGAAAAAAGGCATAAACCAAAAACTAGATTTGTTTAGTCTTGTTGAAAGTGCTCCTTGTATGCTTGCCAATGCTATCTCTCGTTATAAAACTTTTTTTTTGCTTCTTGGAGCTTTTACATTCATCATCTTGAGTTGATCTCATTTGTGGTATCTGTAGCAACATTTAACCAAACTTGAATAACTAATAATTTAAAAAACTAATTTCCAAAGGAAAAAAGTTTAATGCATAAAGTAGTTAATAAAAGAAACAAACCTTTTTGTCACATTTGACAAGGTATTTTGGCCATGCAGCAAAAGCTTTATGTGCCTCCTCAACTGTTTTGATATCACCGTTTTGATATGGTAAAAATGCAGCTCCCTTTATCACTTCATCAATTGATACTTTATAGCAGTCGTCTTGAAGTGGAACTCCATGAATGGCTTGTCTTTCTGAAGAGATGTAAACTGTACCATAAGCAACGTTGCTTCTGTTATCTGGATATTGTAGAATGCACTTCATCGTCTTCATTGTCTACAATGATTGCACATATTTAGATAAAAAAGAATAAACACATATTTATATTTTCATTTTAAAATACATACGTGTGGGAGTTTTGGTGAATGAGTATCTTTTGTTTTTGGATGTGAATTTGTAGTCACACTCTTAGATTCAACAGTTATTTTGTCGGTTTTTTTCATTACCTCGAAAACAATAATTCAATAATATATGGAAATCAGAAAATACTACAAAAAATATTAAAATCAATGAATTTTTCAAATAGTTACTTACAAAGTACTACAAAAAAATATTAAAATCAATGAACTTATCAAATAATTACTTTGTCAATGCTTTATCTGTGATAGATGTTTTCTCTATGATAGTATTAGTAACAGGAGTACCATGAGATTCAACATTCTTGTCCACTGAAAAGACCTACAAAATTGAAGGGAAAGGGTCAATTTATGCAATAAATGCATTTTGCAAAAACAATAACAATTCACTTACTTGTGTTGGAGACTGATTCGGGTGAGATGTTAGATTTGGTATCATTGTTCCTTGTGATTCAAGATGATCTAAAACTAGCTTTAGTGTTTTATCTTGTTCTCTCACCTTTGTTGACAACGCTTTAAGTTCTTCATCTTTTTTCTGAAGCTCAAGTCTCTCATTCTGTAGTTCAAACTTTAGGTCTGCAATTTGTTCTTTTGAAGATCCTTTGGTTCTAGGAATATTGAAATATCTACTAGCACTCACACCTATGCCAACCCCTTTTAAGAATCCACCATTATCCTTGCCGAAGACTAATGACATGGCATCCATCCCAGGATCAAGCTTCACATCTCCATCTTTAATTTGTTTTTCATGTTCCACCTGTACACAAAAAGATATCAAAATAACATTGTCAATATTTATTTAACAAGTCACATTTATTATAGTAATCAAATAACTAAGGAGAAAGTTTCAATAACTTACTAGTTTTTCTACCATGAGTTTTACATTAGCATCTTCTATTTCGCCTGCTTTGTTTTCACGCCCTTTACACCACATTAATGACCGGGGTGGTATTTCATCTTTGGCAAGTTCTTTATTATTTACCTAGTAATCATAGTTGTCAACTCGTAAAAGTCACGATATATATATATATATATATATATTACTTCTATTTATACTAAACATGAAAGAAACATAGTTAAATACATCCAATGGAGAAACAAAACTTAAAAAAATACCAAGACTTCAAATAATGAAACTTTTCCCAAAATACCCCTGACATTAAAATTGTCCCAGTTTTTAATTACTCCAATAGTGGTGGCATATTAAATTCACTTTTTATTAAAAAATGTACTTCAAAACTTGAAAGTATAATGCTCTAATTGGTAGTTCCACTTTCACAGTTTTGACTAACAAACACATATAGACATACATAATGGAATAAAATATAGAACTTACCAATTTCTCTCTTAGAGCCGTATATCCTCCTCGTCCCATCCGGTGATTATAATTTAACTTAGAACATGCTTCTATCGTCTTTGTCGACATATCCTTCCAAAAAATAAATTCACAGATCTTATAAGTATTTTTTATTTTCAGAAACTATAATATAAAAGTGATAATGAAAAAAAAAAGGAATTTAACCTTGAATTGTTCAGACTGTGTGTGTTCAACGAACTTGTCCCAATGATCTTGGCTAACGATTATTGTACGATATCGTTTAGGAATTCTTTTAAGCTTGGTGGTATTACCTAAGTTGGGCTTTATGTACTTTGCGTACAATTTTCTTCTAAAATTTCGTAGAAGGATACCAAGCCGATTCATTATATATTTTCTTTGACTATCTTCAATTTCATAAAAACGCTAAAATACAAATAACTAATATGTTAGGCGTTGAATCATGAATGAAATTGCATTGGAGAAAAACAATAACATATTGGCTACATATAAAAAAACATTATTTACCGTTATCTCTTCCCATAGTTTTTCCTTGACTTCTTTTGTTACCTTCTTCCAGTTGAAAACACTAACTCCTACAAAGGGTGTCGTAACTTCACAAAGTTGTCTACAGTTGTACAACTCCTAAACTTGAAGAGTAAGTATGGAGTTTCAGATAAGTGCTTTACTAAAACATTAGTTTTGATAAAGAAGATGTTACCCGAAGGTAACGAAATGTTGAGTAGTACCTATGAAGCTAAGAAAGCAATGAAAGCAATGGGTTCAGGGTATACAAAGATACATGCATGTATCAATGAATGCATTCTTTACAGGAACGAGTACAAAGATGCAAAAGTATGTCCCACTTATGGGAAATCAAGATGGAAGGTCATTGAGAAAGAAAAAATTATATATGAAAATATCCCGGTAAAAGTGTTATGGTATTTTCCCATTATCCCGAGAATGAAACGACTATTTCAATCAAAGACAATAGCACAAAATTTAAAATGGCATGCCACCGATAGAATACATGACGATGTTTTACGTCACCCAGCAGATACACCTGCGTGGGCTGCCATAGATAAAAGATATCCTGAATTTGCTAATGATCCAAGAAATCTACGACTAGGCATTTCGGCTGACGGGGTCGACGTGAATAGAGGAAATAGGAATCATAGTGTATGGCCTATTTTGACTATCATTTACAACCTTCCACCATGGTTGTGTATGAAAAGAAAGTTTATCATGCTCTCGTTATTGATCTCAGGAACACCAGGAAACAATATTGATGTTTTTTTAGCACCTTTGATCGATGATTTGCAACTCTTATTTGATGTTGGAGTTGAAACATATGATGCATCTTCAAAGGAGATGTTTACTCTATGTGCAGTTGTGTTATGGACGATAAATGATTACCCTGCTCTTGGTACATTATGTGGTTGTCCTTATAGCGGATACAAAGGTTGTGTAGTATGTGGGGAACAAATGCATTGTATTAGACTTCCTAAATCAAAGAAGTAAAGCTATGCTGGTCACAGATGATATCTACCATATACGCATCCTTTCAGAAGTCAAAGGAATGCGTTCAATGGAGAAGAAGAGTTCACAACTGCTCCAGAACCTTTGAGTGGTGAAGAAGTATTTAACAATGTCAAATATGTTATAAATAAATGGGGAAAGGGAGCTAATAATAAGGAATCATACATCCAAAAAACTTCGACAAGAAGAGGTGGGAAGATAAAAAGAAAAAAAAAGAACATCAAAAGAAGTGTGTTATTCAGATGTTAGCAACAAAGAAAACACATATTGGAAGAAATATAATATATGGTGTCGACGTCTTAGGTATTGGCAGCATAATCTTGTCCATCATTGTATAGATTTTATGTATGTCGAAAAGAATGTAGGTGAGAGTCTAGTTGGAACAATGCTCAACATTCCTGGCAAAACAAAAGATGGATTGCAGGCTCGAATGGATTTAGCACATTTTGGGTTAAAGCCAGAGTTACAAGCTCATATTGAAGGCAAAAAAACCACACTTCCGGCAACAAGTTATACATTAACAACAGAGGAAAAAACCATGTTTTGTGAAACATTATACAATTTAAGGGTTCCCACAAGGGTATTGTTCTAATTTTTCTAGTTTTGTGAGTCTAAAGGATAAGAAGCTTATCGGACTTAAATCACATGACTATCACATGCTCATGCAACAATTTTTGCCCATTGCAATACGGTCTATTATGCCGAAATCCACAAGGGATGCTATTACCAGATTTTGTTTCATTTTTAAATCAATATATAGCAAAGAAATAAAAGTTAAGGAGCTCGATAAGTTGCAAGAAGAATTATGTGTCACATTGTGCCTGCTTGAGAAATACTTTCCTCCATCATTTTTTGATGTTATGGTTCATTTAACTGTGCATCTAATTAGGGAAGTAAAATTATGTGGTCCAGTATGCTTTCGATGGATGTATCCATTCGAAAGGTGTATGAAGGTTATTAAGGGGCACGTGCGGAATAAAAATAAACCAGAAGGTCGCATTGCAGAAGAGAATATTGCAGAAGAGACAATTGAGTTTTTAAGTGAATTCCAAAAAAAATATGAATATTGTTGGTATTCCACTTGAGAAGCATAACAACTTTGGAAATCATAATGATGACTATAGTATTTCTCTTAGGGATGGCACTCCAGTATCAGCATGTCGATCGGTTCAAGTTTCTCCGGACCTCTTCATCAAAGCACATTTCTATGTAATGCAAAATACAACTGAAGTTGTACCATATATTAAGTAAGTATTACTTACATGTATGTATTTATTTTAAAATTTTATAATATCGTGAATCTAATATAATAATAATCAATGTATTTACAGTCGACACAAGGCATTTCTGAGAAACCAACACCCTTTTAAACGAAATGCATGGTTAGAGAATGAGCATAGTAAAATGTTTGGTCAATGGTTACGAGAGGAGGTACATTATTTTCATATTGAAGTTATTTTTTTTCTTTGTTGTATATGAGTTGAAGCGTATCCTTCTAATATGATTTAGGTTAAAAAAGAGTTATCAGTCTCAAAAGAAAGTGTATCAGAGACTGTTAGGTGGATTTCACATGGACCAAACACCAATGTACTGAAATACGATGCATATGACATCAATGGATACACATTTCGTACAAAATGCCGCGAAGGTAAAGTTCATCAGAACAGTGGGGTTAGTGTAGTGGCAACTGACACACATATTTCTAATGAAATTGTAACCTATGACCAAAACTCTTATTATGGGGTTGTAAAAGAGATATGGGTAATAGATTATCATTTTAAAAAAATTCCTCTTTTCATGTGTGACTGGGTTGACAATAAAAACGGAGTCAAGAAGGATCCGGTTGGGTACACCTTGGTTGAACTTGGTAGGTTAGGCCACAAAGATGATCCATTCATATTGGCCTCACAAGTACGACAAGTATTCTACATTACAGACCAACTGAATAAAAAAATATCAATTGTCTTTATGACACCTCCCAAAAGTTATAGAGATACGTATGACGATGGCGATGAGGAATTTAGTACTGTACTCTTTCCTCACAACGACAATATATTGCCACGTGTAGATCCACTTGACTTGTGTAAAGAATCACAAAATAATTATTTTCGGACTGACTGTCCAGGTATAGTCATACATAAGGTATAAATTTCTCATTCACATTCTAATTCTTGCATTTGTTTTATTTCAACCATGAACATCCCATGATTTACATGTTTATAAGTAATATTTTTGCTACATTTTTCTGAGTCTAATGATTTCATTTGTTTGTATCAGGCACATGAGAATCCTTAATCCTGGTGTTATTAATTTTACGTTTTGTTGTCTGATGCTCGATACCCCAAAGTTAGTTGTCTGAAAGAGAAAAAAAAAAAGGTTTCTTTGAAATTTGCTTGAATGAGTGCATGCTTGTTGGCAGTTGCTACTAGGTCTCCCTGAAAAAAATGTTAATTGCTTGATGTCTATTAATTAGAATTAAAAATCATTTGTCTCATTTGTGTTTTAACCCAAAATTAACAATAATACCCTTATTGCTAAACTATTTGTTTTTAACAAAATGGTGGATTAATGATCGAGAACCCTAATTATAAGAGTGTACTTTGTTTTTCTCTCCATGTAATTATACTATTTCTAGTTCTCTGTTGGCATTTTAATTTAATATAATTTAGTTTCTCTTCAAATTCTATGAAGTTATAATATTTTATTTTATCAATGATCAATTAAACCATCATTATATTTACTTTGATTATTTTTGCAAAAGATGTTTAGAGTTCAACTATTAAACATTGAGTATCAGTGGCAAAAAAATAATTATGGTCACATGTTTTCTTTTTGTGTTACATAACAAAATATTCACTTTTCGAGACCCTATAGAGTAGAACATGGCGGTATAATAATACTTATACGTAAAAGTTTTAATTTCTTTTATCATAAAAATTCTTCATTTTCGACACACATATGAATTAAACCGTAACCATGAAATACTAATGGTCATATGTTCTTTTTTCACGACAACTGTTTACTTTTAGTCGCACGTAAAAATTAAACCGTAATCATACAACACTTCTAGTTCAAGGTTTTTTTTTCATTAAATCGTAACCATATAATACTTATAGTCCATGTTTTTTTCCTTTAAAACATGGTTGTAGAATACTAAAAGTCACATGCTTTTTTATGATTATTAATATTTTTTACTTGTAATCACACATATGAAATAAATAAATATCCACAAAATATTAACAGTCATATATTTTTTTTCTTGTATCATGACTATTGTTAACTATTAAACAAGCATAAGAGATTAAATCATGACTATGTGTTCTAAAAATTGGCAATAAAATACTCATAGTCATATGTTTTATATTTAACAAAAGATTTTTTTGGTTTTTTTTTTTTTTTTGCTTTTACACACTAATAATTTAATCAGTGACAATTAAATACTTACAATCAATTTTTTACGTTCATGATGACTATATTTTACTTTTATACATACACCAAATTGTAAAAAGTAACAATAAATT